ATTAATGTTAAAGGTTTTCCCCAGATGTCAGAGATCCTTGGCTCTCCACTCACGTTTAATAGTAGGATGCTAAAAAGCTGACGGGATGTTCTGTATGCTGGGAATCTGGCTTAGCTGTTTCATTGGGAGAATATCCAATTTCAGAATTGTAGATCTTTTCACTTGGCCTGTTTAGAATCCCTCAGAAAACAATCATCTAATCGTCTGTCTGGGAGCACAGCCTGGCTATTATCATCCTAGCAGCCAAATTTATGTAGTATTCATTCTTCTGGTAAACCTCCATTTCTGGTATGGTAAATTTGAGGACCCTCACTGGGTCCTCAAAGGGTCCACAGACCCTGTGTTATACCCTCTCCAGAGAAGAAACCTCCAGTCTTCTAGCAAGGAAAGAGAGGAGCAGTTGCCCAGCTGCCCAGGGTAGGAAAGGTAAGCTGGGTCTAGAGGCTACTTAAACATTCAACCAATATTCGCATTCAGGCTCACATCCTCTCCCACTTCCACAAGTGCCTGGTAAATAAAAATTCTAAGTCTTTTGAGGAAGCTTCAATATAGGTATAGTTGTTTCTAACTAATTAGGCTTTAAAAGTAGCATTATGAACTAATGAATTTAAGCATATTTGATGGGTTACAATTTGTTTAAATTATTACCCCTACTAAATCTCAAATTTTTCCATCTTTGGCCAGGGGTAGCCTTTTCAATTTGGCTCCCGAGTCCTTCAGACAAGACCCTAAGTGTCTCTGAAAGCTTACTTGCAATTTGGCATGACAAGATGTACCAGACTCATCTTGTACACTTCCTACCTAGACGTGGAATCAGCCATTTCTCCAAGAAGCCTATCATTCCCCACAGTGGGAATTGATATTTGAGGACCATAATCTGTCAGTAGGGCTGCCCACTGCTACTGTGTTGGTCATTGTTTCTCATCCTTTTCACTGCACAGAGCTATATATACATGTATGTATATAAGTGTGTGTGTATGTGTGTAAAGATAAAATATCTCAGACATTCATACTGATACTTCCAATTCAAATTCAGAACTAGAGGGTTTTAGCAATCCTCTTCCATATTACATCAGTATCTCCTTCCTTCTACACAAAGAAGCCTGATTCTTAAGGACGTGGGATGATAGAATTAGAATACTCTATAATCACTCATTTGTTTTATTTCACATTATACACACAACAATCTCAAAATAACAATATTTATGGGCTGGCCCCGTGGCTTGGCGGTTAAGTGTGCGCGCTCTGCTGCTGGCTGCCTGGGTTCGGATCCCGGGCCCGCACCGGCGCACCGCTTGTCCGGCCATGCTGAGGCCGTGTCCCACATACCGCAACTAGAAGGATGTGCAGCTATGACATACAACTATCTACTGGGGCTTTGGGGGAAAAAATAAATAAATAAATAAATAAAATTATTTAAAAAAAAAATATTTATACCAGCACCAACAATTTGATTACTGAAAACAGTTTGAAAAAAAATTACATCAATTCTCCCAATTATCACCACTACCTTTATAGTTGTAGTAGATGTTCATTATTAGAGCATACAGCCATTAACATTGTGCTCCCTCCCTTTTAACCTTTTTTCTGTTTTAGTTCTACAACTGACTAATTAATGAGCAACACCAGTCCTTAAGATGATGTCTCTCTGGTCATTTTGGTTGTCTATAGCTCATTCTCTTGTAGATCACTAGGTTCTTCAGGAAGAATTCATGTAAACAATACTCTCCAGCTTCCTGCAAGCTGATAACATTTGTACGTGCACTTGATCCCTGAAAGTCAATTACGTTCATTTTTCTTTTCTGGGGTATTGTAAATATTTAATGCATTTCTCCCTGTCATAAAGCTTTGCTGTTGAACATTCTGATGATAAACTAGTTTTCTTTCCCCTGTAAGTCACTTGCTCTTTTTGTCCCCACAGGATTTTTTTTTTTTAATTTTAAAGGTCAATAATTATACCAGAATTTGTTTATGCCCTATCTCTGTCCATTATGTTACAGTTGTCATACATATTACATATTCATTCATTGACTACCCCACCAAAACAACTTTGCTTTAAACAGTCACATATTTTAAAGAATTTAAGAGGAAAAAAAGTGTTTTATATACACTAAGATTTTTATTTTTTTATTTTTATTTATTTATTTTTTACCATAACCCAACCCAACTCTATGACATGTAGTTTACCATAAAACCAACTTCCTTAACACACTGCTTTAATCAAATACTTCATTAACTAAAATTAATGGTAGCTTGTTGTCTACCAAGATATAGTATAAAGTCTACAGCATAATATTCAAGAGCTTCCACAACAAGGACCAAAATCTGGATTTACAAATTTCTCTCTTACTAAACTCAACATGAACTCTCTTCTCTGGCCAAATTAGTCTACTAACTATTCTACATAACTGCCATCTGCTTGCCTATGAGCTTTTCTCCTACCATTCTCTTATCCTAGAACGCCTTCCTCTCTGCCTAGGAATAGCCTTCTGATTCTTTAAAGCCCCACCATTAAAGCCTTCTCTTATGAGCAACATGATGTTATGCAAAGAACATAAATTCTGACATCAGCCTGACTTAGAGTCTAACCTAGGTTATGCTACTTACTGACTCATGTCTCTGAGGCTAGGTTTCCTCATATAGAAAATGGACCAACATCCATTTTAGGGGACATCCAAATCATAGAATTATTGTTAGAATTAGAATAATACAAGCAAAGTCCACAGTACACAGTACGAGTTAAATAACCATTAGAAATGACCATTAGAATTAAGTTCATTACTCATTTCTCTGAGCTCACTGTAATTTGTTTGTATAATTCATTTAGCAATTCACAATTTCTCACACGATTCACAACGGACTCATTCCATCTCATACTTTTGCCCTAAATGATGATTTCTCTTGTATTACTTTAATTTTCATTTATATCTTGTGTTTTGTGTCCCCAAACAGACTGGAAGCTTCTTAAAAGTCAGGACTATATGCTATACTTATTTAAAATTTCACATAGTTTAGCACAGTGCTATTTATAAAAGAGGACTCAATAAATACTTCCTCAGTGAAGCATTTGCTGAAAACAGTCTTGCTGAAAACAGTCTATCCAGAAAATGGGAATCACATTTTAAGAGGTGCCTTGATACACCAGAACCCGTCCACTGAAGGGTAAAGGGAGAGATGGGGGGATGGGGGGGGTGGAGAAGAGACAGGGTGAGAGAGAAAGTGTGTGTGTGTGTATGTGTGTGTGTCTCTCTGTGCCTATGTGTGAGACACTGGGAGAGAGAACGTGTATGTAAATGTTGATAACAGAAAAACTACAGATGTTTAGATGTTTAACCTAAAGAGAAGATGACTTCAGAAGGCATGTAAGATAAATTAGATTATTACAGGCTCTGAAGGCAAAACTAGGACCAATGATTAGGAGAAAAAGAAATTCAGCTTAAAGTAAAATTCTATAACATTACAGCTGTTCAACAATGGAATAAAAGGATTTATTAAACATTAAGTTCCTTGTAAAATTAGAAGTACTTAAGCAGAGCTCAGAGTTGAAATAGTTTTCAATCCACATGTCAGTATCAGAAAGATAGCTGTTATCTAAAATGCTGTGTTGAGAAGAATTGTAAGACTGAACATATAGTCAGTGGGAAAGGGTCCTGTGATCAGTTAAGAATATTTGTCACAAGCCTGGCAGAAGGGAGGGTAACACAAATACCTCGTATTCACTATCTCCAGCCTAGATTATTTATTTTCAGAGGTAATCATTTCTTATTGGGAATTTAGATACAAACTGGGTAAAGTTTCTACAAACTCCATAAGTCTAAGACTAACATTCTTTAAATGTTCAATTAAATGAAATTTTTAAAGTATTTTCAAATGACAGTCCTCAGCTAGGATCTTGGGTTACTGTTGGAGAAAAAAAAAAAAAAAAAAACACTTTAGTTTCTCATCCTGTAATTCACTCTTGAGACCACAATACCATTTTAAAAACTGAATTGTGCTTTTTATAATTTTCAAAAGATGTTCATGTTTTTATTGTCAATAAAATTTGTGGCTATCAGATAACAGAGAAAGCATATAAATAGGAAAGAGTCAAACTCAGATCAGATAAATACAAAATTTTTAATCAAAATACTCTTCCTTTAATAATGCCCTAGAACTTCATTACTAATTAATCAATCAGCATAAGAAACCCACATCTTAAAAAAACAAACACGGTAACAGAAACTTTCTCTTCTTCCCACATTTCTGTTCTTAAGAGAGATTACTCTCATCACCCACAACTTAAAAGAAACAGTCACTGCCGTCTTAGAGCAGAAGTGCTCCAAGTGTGGTCGCTGGACCAGCGGCAGCATCAGCTGCATCAGCTGGGAAGGTGTTAGAAATGCCAATTTCCCAGCCCCATCCAACCTGCTGAATCAGAAACTCGAGTTGACCCAACAATCTGGGTTTTAACAAGCCCTGCATGTGATTCTGGTGCATGTTAAATTTTTCAAACCACTGTCTTGGAAAATGGTTCTGTTTCTTTCTAACATGGCTGTATCCCTTTACCTGATTCTCCCTAGCATCTCTTTACTCTTGCTCACATTTTGCACAACCCAAACATTTTCTCATTGAATGATTAATTCACTGGTAACTCTGTGATGATTCCTGCTTTCTTTCCTTTCAAAATGTGAGACTGCCTTTTAAACCATCCAACATGTGTTAAAATTTTTTATTACACATAAATTATTATGAGTTGTTTACATAGAAAGAGATTTTTAATGTGTGTCAAAAGGTGTAAGAACAATCCTGTATAAAAATCGTTTTGTAAGTAGGCCCACCTTTTTCTCTTCTTTATACTGTATACAATATAATACACATTTGTAGGGAACATTTAAATAAATCATTATACCTGTCAAACAGTTTACAAAGAAGAAATTATTCCACAGCCTTCAAAATTATCACTTTCCCACAAAAACAGCTCTTTTGACATACACTCCACTCCTTCATTACGTCTTACTCACCTGTGTACATAATGCAGTTGATGAACTGAATCAATTGCTATCACCATCTCAGCCAAGTAAAATCGAGCCATATCTTCAGGCAATCTATCTTCAAATTTGCTGAGCAGAGTAAGCAAATCCCCACCAACATAATAATCCATAACCAGGTACTGGGAATGAAGAAATAAAATGTACTCAATAAATATTAAGGGTGAAAATTAACATATTTAATGTAACTCGAGGTCAAATAGCACTGGGTCAAATATTTTTGTTGTTAATTAACAAAAAGCTGTGTCAGCAGTCATTACAAGACTTGTAAATTTCATAAAACAGTAAAATAAAAGTTTTAAATATTAGGATGGGAAGAACATAGGATTATCATTGTTTTGTTATTGTAGTTTACAAAGTAATAACACAGAAAAGTAACATCATCATCACCACCACCTACAATAGACCACAGTTTTACCAACATTTCCTAGAAGAATGAACATTTTAATTCTCCAAAAAGGATTAAAAAACTTCAGAAGCGTGAAGTGGGCAAAACGAGCCTGGTTTGGTAACATACAGATATGTATACTATATTATTTTATTTTTTTAGGTGAGTAAAAACTAGACAAAGTAGAAAAATGAGCTTTTGTAGTCGAAGAGACCTATATTCAAATCCTGACTCTGGGTTATAAGTGGGTTTTGAAAAATCACTTAACCTCTTTGATACGCCGTATTCTCACCTATATAACTACAATGATGATACCTTCTTCCCAGTGTCACACTTAGCATGAAGGCTGGTAAGCAGAAGATATTTAAATGTCAGTTATAACACCTGGAAGTTAAGTGATTTTATTACAGAAAGGAGATGTTACTTTAGGGTTTTCACCAAGTTGACACTAAGATTTAGAGTCTTGAGAAAATTCACATTCTTATTATTACACATTAAAATCATAAGTATGAGCAAATTTTGTTAAATAAAAGAAACTAATTTTAGCTTTTAAATCTTTGAAAATTAGGGAAACAATGCATTTCAAATCCTGGTCTTGGTTTACTTGCTGTATTTACTAGGCCTAATGTTTAACAGACTCTCTCATGAAGATTAGAAGATTGGAAGGAACAAATTAATTTAATGTAATAAAATTTCATTAACATAAACATGTTGCTAGAAATGGTGATGGATGTGGAGAAGAAATCCACACCTCTTACTTTAAAAAGAACTCCAAGTAGAGTAGCAAACACAGAAACTTTTCAAATAAAAAAAGCAAGTCTGCTTTTAAAATTGGAATCTAATTTTTATACATAGAAAGTCATAAAACATAACTCATTCTTTCAAGGAACATTTATTAGTGCCAATCAGGATTTTTTTTGTACCAAACATAGAGGAAAAAACCCAGAAGATAAAGAGATGAAAGGCTCCTACATCAAAGGCTCTCTTCTCGACAGTGTACTCTATTCTTGGCACACCAGACTCCTAATAGTCTGAGTACACCATCTACCAGTAAACTGCTAAGAAATAATTATCTCAACATTTTTGCCACCCATGGTCACCACTCAAGACTTAGGCTCCTTGAGTCATCATCTGTCTTCTACTTTCATTCACATACTGCTATGTGCTTTCTCTTAAACCCAAAACCCCATGGATCCCTTCCCTTCCAACCTTTCAATGTGCCTTATTGAACCTCTTCTATGGTAAACAAACTTCCTTGAGATAGAATAAAAAATGATGAATATACATGTATTCCTAGTTTTCCTCTCCTGCTGCCTGCTAAACAGAGTCCTGGCTTTGCCTACTCACATTCCTTCCCTACCTTGCCCTTAGAGGTAAATTAGCTGTTACTAAGACAGAATTAAGCAAATGGGGGAGCAAGGGGCAGAAAACATGAAAGAATATTCTCAAGAGAAAAGCAATGAGGTAAAAATGAACTGTACTTGCTATGGGGTTCTGGTGTTAGGGAGACAAGATACATCAGGAAAGGCAGACAAATAATAACCTCACATGGGAACAAAGCTCCTTTTCCTCTATAACATATCCCAGTGAATGTCTCCAAGACCTGGAAGTCATTCTTTCATGTTTTCTCCTTTATTCACCACAACATCCAATTAAATCACCGAAGTCTTACTGAATCCACTTCCTACTAAATTTCTGTGGAGTCCATCTACTTCTATCCCTACCCACTGACGCAACACTAATCCAGGCCCCTGGCCTCTCTTGACTACATCACGACAACAGGTTTAACGGCAAAGTGGATGGTTTTCCATAATATGTTTTATCACGTAAATAATTTTCTTGGGAATGGAAAATAGAACACAGAACAAAAGAGGGACAAATAAGTTCATTCACTAATAACACAGACATCTATATAAGTACTTACCATGTGCTGACATTACACTTATGTAAGGGAGATATTACAATGAATAAGAGACATTTCCTACCTTCACGGAATTTACAATCTAATGGAGCAGAAAACACAAATTAATGGGCAATTTCAGCGTAATATACTTTTATAGGGATAAGCAGAGGGTATTGCTATAGGCTCTTAAAGGAAAAGAATCTAACTTTTCAATCAGGTTCATTCATTTATTTGTCTGAAACTTATTTTTGTACAAGGTGTGAAGACTATTTTCATATATACAGAGGGTCAGTTATCTAAAACAGTTAAATAGTTAAAACAGTTTAATAAACAGTTTAAATAAACAATTAGTTAAATAATTCATTCTTTCTCCCAATTTAATTGAAATGCTCCCTCATTATATTTTAAGATGCTAAATACACTTGGATCTGTTTCTGCCATGGCTGTCTATTCCTCTATCAATATCGTATTTTTCTGATTAATTTTATAGTAAAATTTAATATCTTGTAGGACAAGTTCCTACTCATGCACTACCTTTAAAATGTTACTCAATATGGCTAAGGTGTGTTTAAACAAGTTTAAGAAAAATATAGACTGAGAGGTAATCTTCATAAAATACGTCAAGGAGATAAGAATCCTAACATCAAGAGCTCCTACCAGTTGTTCAGAAGGGGATGAGCAATCCAACAAAACTGGACTGAGAGTATAAACAGATAATTCACATCAGAAGAAACACAATTAGCCCAAGCTCAACTTCAACAGCAGTCAGGGAAATGAAAACCAAAGCAACAGTGCGATACCATTTTTCACCAGTCAGATTAAGAGAAAGACCATTTCTGCTTTGGGGAGAGGGACATGAAACAACACTGCTTTTGGGGGGAGGACATACTACAACTGCTTGGGAAAGTAATTTCACAGGATCTATTGAAATTTTACAAGATGCATACCCTTGATCTAGCATTTCCACTCTTAAGAAAATAGTCAATTAAAATAAAAGCTCTACTATGTAAGGAATATGGGCAAGTATGTCTTTGCACAGGACTGTTGATAACTACAACAAATCAGAAACAATATGAATAGAGATCAACAAGGAAACTTACATGGATCCATTCAACATATCCATTCTATGATATATTATACAAGAATAAATATATGCCCATGAGATAGTTTAAGGGACAAAAGCAAGCTGCAGAGTAATATATATTTTGTGATCTCATTTTTATAAAAATGAAAGCAAACATCCATCCATACAAAAACATACAATTATATAAAGCATAAAAAAAAAAGAAAGGATACAGTAAACTTAACATTAGTTACCTCAGGAGAGTGAAATGAAAGATGAACATAAGGACCACTAACTTTTTTTTTTTTTTTTTTAAAGGCAACATGTTTATTTATTTATTTTCCCCCCCCCAAAGCCCCAGTAGATAGTTGTATGTCACAGCTGCACATCCTTCTAGTTGCTGCATGTGGGACGTGGCCTCAGCATGGCTGGAGAAGTGGTGCATCAGTGTGCACCCGGGATCCGAACCCGGGCCGCCAGTAGCGGAGCGTGCACACTTAACCGCTAAGCCACGGGGCCGGCCCCTGGACCACTAACTTTTTATGTATATAAACCTCAGTATTGTGGAGGGAAAAAGATCTAGTCAAACTGAAGTTGACCAATGGAATAAAGTTCTACAAAAGGCCAGAGGTGATGATGAAGTCAAAGGCAAAGGTTGATAGGAATAATCCTAAATATAAAGCTACACCTCATCCACATTGAGAGAAAAGATAAGAACAGAGGCAAATATGGATAAATTTGCATATCCCTATGGGAGGCGGGGGGATGAAATAGAATGCTGAGGCCAGAGAGTGGAAAGTTAAAAAAGTTCATGCTTGAGTAACCAATGGGTACATTTTTTCCATGTGGTAGGAGTTAGAGAATGAGGGTGCAGGAATATTTATATAATGTCCCTATACTGGAGATAAAAATCAACTGTTTTCCTGCTTTATGGTTATGTAATCAGAGCCAAAAGAAGTCAAATGATTTGCCCAAACATACATTAGACAGGGGGAGAGCCAGAACTCAGGGTTCTTGATCCTAAGATCAGTTTCTTTTTTCACTCAAATAAAACAGAGTCAGTGTTCAATAAAAAAGCTGACCACATCCAAGATACAAAGAGTATATGCTGTGCACCAGAATAATAAAAAAGAAATTAAGGATACAGACTGAGTCTTGAGCAATCTTTTACCCCTCCAAAATAAAGAAACATGGTATTTGCTGTTAGAGCCATGGGGTGGATTCTGACTCCTAGTGACCTCGTGTACAGCAGAGCAGAACCCTGCCTGGTCTTTTCGAGCCATCCTCTCACCTTTTGCGTTTTCATGGCCAATTTTTAGGAAGTGGGTGGCCAAGTCCTTCTTAGTCTGTCTTACTCTGGAAGCTCCACTGAAACCACAGGTGACCCTGCTGGTATTTGAAATCCTGGTGGCACAGCTCTCAGCATCACAGCAACAGGCAGCCACCACAGTGTGACAACCGACAGATGGGTGGTGTGGTTCCCTGACCGGGAAACAAACCCGGGCCTTCCCAGGCAGTAAGAGCCCTGAATCTTAACCACGGGACCACCAAGGCTGGCTGTGTTTAATTTACTTTTACAAATTTTGCTGACAAATCTATGCAGATTGTATTTGCATTGAAACGTTCATCCCTAAAATTTTATATAAGTATGGTAAATTCAAGTCAAATATCATTCCATTCAATTTAACAAGTGAGCAACTAATGTGCAAAGCTCAATGTTAGGACTTTTAAATAATTCTGACTACAACCCACAATAATAAATATGGTT